AATCGAGTCTAGGGGTCAGGTGTAACTTTCCAGTTTTGCCCATCAATCTCCAAGGTCCAGGGCAATACTGGAAATCTGGTCCGGTTCAAAGATTCAAGTAATCCTACACTGCATGTGCTTTGGGTCTCACCCTGGCAGCTGAGACAGGCCACCCCAACACTTGGCAGCACACTAGTGCCAGCCTTGGCAGGATAAATCTCCCCAGACTTATCCAACGGCTGTGAACATTCTAAACTAACACAAGTCTCATTAAGTGTCTAGTTTAAGGGTCTTACATAGAAACATACCACACAATATGAATCAAACATGCACTTTATTCATTTACACTAAATGACAAAAGTACATCAAATTTGATTGGAGCTAAGGGCATACAAAACTGTGTAACAATGATATCATAAGTATCTCTCAGTTAAAGTCATTCCTTGCTTCTGAATTTGAGATTAAGGACATTGGTGATCTCCGATACTTTCTTGGCATTGAAGTTGCGAGATCCAAGAAGGGGATTTTTCTGTCACAAAGGAAATATGTGTTCGATTTGCTTCATGAGGTTGGGAAATTAGGGTGTAAGCCTGTAGAAAACACCAATTGATCCCAACCACAAGTTGAACTCTACTGAAGGAGAAGTTCTTCCAGACAGGGAGTATATCAGAGATTGGTGGGACGCCTTTTGTATCTTTGTTTGACTAGACCTGTCATTTCCTATGTTGTTGGAGTGGTTAGCCAATATATGCATGAACCCAGGACATCTCATATGCAGGCAGTTAACAGAATTTTAGCCTACCTGAAAGGATGCCCTGGCAAAGGGATGTTGTATTCCAACCACGGCCATCTAAAGATTGAGGCTTACATAGATGCTGATTGGGCAGGGTCCATCGATGATAGGAGATCTACATCCGGTTATTGTGCCTTAGTTGGAGGCAATGTAGTTTCCTGGAGAAGTAAGAAACAATCTGTGGTTGCTCGTTCTAGTGCTGAGGCTGAGTACAGGGCAATGGCTCATGGAGTGTCTAAACTACTTTGGTTGAAGACCTTATTGACTGAGATGGGCATCCAAACAAATGTTCCAATGAGACTATATTGTGAGAACCAAGCAACCATAAATATTGCTCATAATCCTGTCCAACATGATCGTACAAAGCATATTGAGGTGGATAGACACTTTATTAGAGGAAGAATTGTTAGCGGAGAGATTTGCCTTCCTTTTGTAAGGTCAGAAGACCAACTAGCTGATTGCCTCAATAAAGGTGTTCACCATCCAAAGTTTGCTAAGAACCTTTCCAAGCTGGGCATGATTGACAAATATGCTCAGCGTGAGAGGGAGTGTTGAGAATGGTTAGACAAGGGTGTTTTTGGTCATTTTCTCCTTTCTTGTACTCTCTTTGTATTTGGGCACCCAGATAGGGGCCTTCTTGTAATTATTAATTTTCAATTATAAAGTGAACTTTTGAGGGTGTGAACAGTGAACATCACACACTTCTCGACACTTCCCTTTCTTCTTCTCTTCTTCTCTTCTTCTCTTCTTCTCTTCTTCTTCTTTTCTTCTCTTCTTCTTTTCTTCTCTCCTTTTTTTTCACTCTCTTGAAACCCTAATTTCTGCAACTTAGGCAATAGGAAACAATGGAGTGCTTAGTCACCTACGCAATAGAATTTTACAAAATAAAAACTAAATACTAGGTTACTTCCTAGTTTACTAATAATGTTACTTTTTCTCTCAAAATATGGCAAATCACATTATCCAAAAGACAGTAGCATTCTAAATATATCAATTTCAATATTTCAAAGCATAACATTGTAAAATAATGAATATTAAATAAAGAAAAATTATGCCAACTTAGAAACTAAAGAAGCTATATTTTATGCTAAAAAAATTAAGATAGAGAGTAAGAAAAAGAGAAAAATAGCAAGTGGTGGAACCCCTGTTCTATTTAATGTATGTGATAAGAGAGAAAATAATAAACCTCTTATATACCTTTTCTTCTTCCTTTAATTTTCTCTTCTAAAACCATTGGATCGTTTATTTCTTATAGTAAAACCCTAGAACAAAGCATAAGTGATATATGCAACTATAATAATAATATTATAATAAAGTGCCCACATTGCAATTCTTGTCAACTAGGCAGATGCCTTATTGCCTAATTGTGCTAGTCTAGGTGCATTTTTCATTCAAGTCAAAGTGTTCAAGCTAAGTGCCCCACCAAGGGCACCTTGTCACCTAGGCAACACCTAGGAGGGTTCCAGGGCAATGCCTTCACAATTATGGATTTTGGAGGCTTGATCTAGGTATAAAAACATTAAAAATCTTAAAAAAGGTCATAAATAATGCAGAAAAACTCAAAAAATATTGTTAAATAGGTCATAAATAATACAGATAAACACAAATATGTTACTAAATGGGTCATCAATAATGCAAATAAGTTTCATTCTAGTAAGGGTTTTAAAACAAAAGCCCTTGAAAAAAGCAATGGCAAAATACAAAACCAAGTCCCAGTCAAAGTGATTAAATCACAAAATTCGAATAAGCTATAAGATTCAGGAATAAGGTTCAATCCTAAGATTTCAATTGAAACTCTTGGGAGTCACCATTCAAAACATACATTGTAAACTGTATAATTTTGAGAATATTGCAAGAAAACTAAAAGATAGTTGACAACTAAGCATCATAATATGCTTATTCACCCCAGCAAAAGAATCTAAAAATATTTCATATTAGCACATAAAACTGCAAAAACAAATGGGGAAGAGCTGGTAAAAATTCACAACAAAATGCTTACAATTAGACCTTGAACTTTGTTTGTTCGCCGGACCACCAAATGTGATAGATATGTGGCAGGATGATATTCCATAAAAAAACTCTCAACAATTCCACTGAAGCTGTTCCCAGCAGATCTGGGGATACCACGGACCAAAATGGTGAACTGATGTGGTTGAGGTTTTGATGAATAAAAGTAAGCAAGTCTCTTCATTGAAATATACTTATATTCCTGCAGAATCAAATGATATTTAGCATCAAACAATCTGTGTGTGTGTGTGATCAGGAACATGAAATTAGAATTTATTAATGTAGGATGTGAAGAATAAATGAATCCCAACCCCAAAGTTTAAGATCTACAAACTAGTAGAATAACAGTCAAGGTTGACATACTTGACACAGTAATAAGCAGAATTACAGAATTATCCCCAGGTCTAGCAATCCCCATGCTAATGAGTTGTCAAAACTATTGACCAATCTAGGAATCCACCTGAACAAGCAACTCAGGAAGGATGGCAATGCTATCACTTCCCATATCAAGTGTCATAGGACACATGGGCCTTCTGCTCCAGAAGAAACCAAGTGACTGCTACTTAACTGTCTTCTTCAATTACACCCAACCAACCTGTTGAATGTGATACATATTAAATAGTGCAGGGAGTCCTGCCTTCAATAAGGTCCCTACTCCAGCTGGGCCCGAGTAACTCTTCATTATGTTCCCATGCAATCTCAAAAAAAATAACCAGAAAATATTTTCTATCTATAACTATATATCTAGAGGGATGATTAGGGCACATCCTTTGTTAAAAGGTGGAAGGTGCCCTATAGTTCGATAGAACAAGAAGAGAGAAGAGAGGAGGAGAAGGAGGAAAGGAGAAAGAGAGAGGAGAAAAGAAAAATCTATTCAAAATCAGTAGCTGGTGGCGCTTAAGTTAGTATTTATACTTAGGGTGGCAGCTTATAATAGTTACAATGGGAAAGGCAAAAATGCCCCTACTAGGCCGCTACACATTACAACACTCCCCCTCAAGTTGGAGCATATATGTCAATCATGCCCAACTTGTCACACAGTTCATTATGTCGCAAATAGTGAAGACCCTTTATAAGAACATCAGCCAGTTGTTCCTTGGAACTGATGTAAGGAGTACAAACTTCCCCCTTTTCAAGTTTCTCCCTTATGAAATGCTTGTCAACTTCAATATGCTTGGTCCTGTCATGAACTGGATTGGCTGCAATATTAATGGCTACCTTTTTGTCACATTAGGGAGACATTGGGCCATCAACAGAGAGGCCCAACTCTCCAATCAAATCCTTTACCCATAGTACTTCAGCAACTCCATGTGTCATGGCCCTATACTCGGCCTCAGCACTAGATCTGGCCACTACACTTTGTTTTTTGCTTCTCTAAGTTACCAAGTTTCCACCAACAAAGGTACAATATCCACTAGCTGATTTCCTATCATCAATAGCTCCAGCCCAATCTGCATCTGTGTAGACTTCCACTTTCATATGACCATGTTTCTTGAAAAGTAACCCAATTCCTGGATACTTCTTCAGATATCTAAGAACCCTCTCAGCTGCCTCTAAATGGGAAGATGTTGGTGCATGCATAAACTGACTAAGGACACCAATAGCATAAGCTATATCTGGACGAGTCATTGATAGGTAGAGAAGTCTTCCTACCAACCTCTTAAACTTCTTGACATCTGTCACTGGTTCTCCAATACAATCACCAAGCCGATGGTTTTCCTCAATAGAAGAATCTACAGGCTTTGCTCCTAACTTTCCCGTGTCCTACAAGAGATCTAGGACATACTTCATTTGGGAAATGAAGATGCCCTTTTTTGAGCGGGCAACCTCAATACCAAGAAAATAATGTAGTTGTCCCAAATCTTTCACCTCAAACTGCATAGCAAGGGATTCTTTGACCTTTTGAATCCTAGAGTCCCAATTCCCCGTGATCACAATGTCATCAACATAGACAATGAATACCACAACATTCTTTTGGTTTCTTTTGACAAATAGAGTATGGTCAGATTGGCACTGTTTGAACCCAATTTTCTGAAGAGCCAAGTGAAATCTGCTGAACCAGGCCCTTGGGGATTGTTTCAAACCATATAAAGACTTTTTCAATTTGCAAACTTTCCCTTCACACCCTTGTGCTACAAACCCAAGAGGCTGAATCATGTAAACTTCTTCTTCCAGATCCCCATTTAAGAATGCATTTTTTATGTCCAATTGATGGAGCTCCCAATCAAAGTTAACAGCCAAGGATAGTATAGTCTGAATAGTGTTCATTTTATCAACCGGGTCCAAAGTTTTTGCATAATCAACCCCATACACCTGAGTATACCCTTTTGCAACTAAACTAGCTTTATACCTCTCAACCGACCCATATGCTCTATGCTTTACTGTGAATACCCACTTGCACCCCACTGGCTCCTCGCCTTCAAGAAGATTCACCAACTCTCAAGTGTTGTTTTTGTGAAGAGCACTAATTTCTTCCTTCATTGCCTTTGTCCATTTAGGTATAGATGAGGCTTCTGCAACACTTTTGGGAATGGAGACACAATCAATGGCAATCAAAAAGGCATGAAATGAGGGAGCAATGTTTTCATAGGACAAGAACTGAGCAATAGGATGCTTAGTAGTACATGATCGAACCCCTTTTCTATGAGCAATTGGAACATCAAGATCATTAGTAGGATCATCAATAGCAATAGGTTCAGTAATATCAAAGGGAACAAGGGTTCTTGGATTTTCCTTCAAGGAGTCAGATGGTGCTGGATGTATAATCTCAAGTTGCTCCATAGCCTTTGAATTCAGTTGTCCCTTACGGCGCCTCAAGAAGACACGAAATGGAGAGGAGTCAGGAATAAAGGGAAGAGGAATCTGAGGAGCTGGAGCTTGCCTCTCCTCCTTCACACTATTCTCCCCCTAAAGAGAGGCTTAGAAGAAGGGTTCAGATTCAAAGGACACATCCATCGATACAAAGTACTTATGTGTGACCGGATTGAAGCATTTGTAACTGTTAGAGTTAGCCGAATAAGGGTAGATTAGTCAACTCACCTTGGTTAAGTTATGAGCTTATGTGGCAGTCTTATTAGAGGTTCTCTGTCCCATACTTAAGTAGGGGCAGTTTAGTCCTTGTACATTTAATTAGAAGCCTAATCACTATTAAG